AGCAGGTCCAGTGCAGGGCTTTAATAACACATTAGGACTGCTGACATCTCTGTGAATAATAGGCTGAGGCTTAAAAAGGTGAAGGTAGTTGAGGCCTAAAGCTACATCTTGAGCAAAGCTGAGAATCTGTTGATTGGTTAATTGGTTTCTGCGAAGCTCCTGATTAAGACTAGTGCTCATCAGCTCAGTCAAGATGAGAGGATTACCCACTTTAGTTGCACCAATAAACTGGACCAGGTTAGGATGACGTACTCGTGATGCTATACTCATTTCCCTGGAGAAGATACCTTGATTGTAATCTGAGATGATTAGAGTATGAAGTGACTTAACAGCTACTCTTAAACCCCTAAAGGTACCAACTGTAACAAGACCATATGACCCTCTTCCTAACTCCTCCTTTGTCAAAATTACCTCATCTTTATTAATAACCCAGTGATCATCAGTAAGTGCTTGTTGCTGGTACCTACAAACTGCCTCTTGAGACTGACGTAGCTCCCTATCCTTCTCTTGTAGCTGATAATGACACCTTCTTATTTCTTGATCTTTCTCTGCTTCTTCTCTTTCCTTCTGTTGACAAAAAACTTGTGCTTCTCTCTCCTTCTCTTCAAGACTCTTCATAAGAGCTTGTATGGTTTGCTCAATATCAGCTGTATCTCCTTTTCTTGGTTTCTGGTACTCCTCCAACCATATTCTTCTTCCTTTCTGTAGTTGCTGCTGATACTTCTTCTTGTATTCTTTATTATTCATATCATTGGTATCTAATGTATCACCTACTGTCCACTCTCCTGTACTGTTAGTAACTAAAATACAATATTAATAATAATTTTAAAAAATACAATATTAATAATAATTTTAATTAAAGGGTGTGGATCTAATATGACATTAAGATGTCAAAGGAAATAATTATACCACATAACGAGAAATTTTCGTGGTCCAAAATTTTCGTGGGTTTCGCGTTTTTTCAAAATTCACAAAAATAAAATCCGTGAAAATCAATTTAATACGGTTCAAGATGGCCAAGAAGTAGAAACCACAAAAATTAAAGTCATGAAATAGATTTTTAGATGGATCCGCAAAAATTTTGGGCCACGAAAATTTTTTGCTATACGGTAATTAGGTCATAAATAGTATTCATTGGTGGGTGTGGCTAATACACTGACCTAGTTCAGTTAACATAACAATGTTAGGATTAGCGACAAATGTCCGTCTTATATCAACAACTCCTCCATCAGTTATTATCCAGACACAATGAGGACTCATAATGAACACTGAGAGAGAATGAGCCCATCTCTTACAAACAAAGTGAGGTACATCTAACTGTTAACAGAAATAAATTAATGATTTACATGTACATGTACATGTATCTGTTACAAATCAATTATTAACAATATCTAACATACCTTTATCCAGGAATGTTGAGTGATGTTAAAGACCCAACAATCATCCAATGTATCACCATTCTTATCCAACCCACCACTTATCACTAGCATAGGACAGTCTGATCCAGTTCTAATAATAGCACCTGCATGATAGTATCTACCCACAGGCCATTGGTCTATTGCTTCAGGTTTCTTTATACACTGCCAGAACTAAAAATAAAATAACCACACCCATTAACAATGATGAGTGTGTGTAATGCATACATTCAGTACACATAATTTAATATACCACAGTGCTGATTGAGGTCTCTAATATATAAATTTTGTTAGTAAAGGCATCCTTATCATCATCATCAGTCTCTACTCCACCAAACAGAACAGCTCTAGTGTTGCTGATCTTTTCAATGATGAAATCGTTAGCAGGTGGTATACACTGCCCAATGATTGAAGGATTATTCCATATTCCTAAATTATTATTAACCTAGATCTAATTTCAAACAGTAATAAAATCTTACTTGATGATAGATTATACATTGAATGCTCATTAGTTCGCCACTTTCCACTAGAAAACTTATTATATTTATAATGAGGTAGTTGTACAGCTGGTGTTGATCCCATTCCTCCTATCATTAGTAAATGATGTACTCCATCATGTTCAAATGATACCATTCCACTAACAGCTCTCATCATTACTGGTCTAGTTGCATCAGTTGGTTCTAATTCTCTCCATTGAAAACTAATGGTATCCAGTTGTGTAATACTGTTGTGAAAGCAGCTGTCATGGCCACACCATCCCCCAAAATAATACAATTGATCATTTATTGCAGTACAGCAGTATTGTTTCACTCCTAATGGAGGAGTACCAGTAGTACCTCTAGTGATCCATTGACCAGTTGAAGGAGTAAAGTGCTGTATATTACTGGTGATCCTTCTCTTCTCTTCACTATCATGTACTTTAGGTAAACTTTCCTGAGCACCAGCCCACACATACAGTGAATCATCTACTAATACAGTGGTGTGAATTGCTCTTTTATTCAGTTGATCTATACGTCAATAATTGACAGTTCATGATATAAGGACTTACTTTTAGAGCCAAACAACCAAGCCATCACTCCCATCAGTTTGAGTCACGTGATCTATACTATGAGTGGGCGTTGTTTGTATTAGTAAGTGGAGCCATAGATATTAGAGTAAAAGTAAATTAGAGTACTCTAATATCTATGGTGGAGCTATTCTATTCTTGTGTTTGCTAATCATGCTTTACATAGACACTTGCTGAGCTCAACGAACACTACAGTAAAAAAACATGGCAGAAGTCCTATATGCACCTAAATAATTGAGATGGTATTAGATCTAATTCCTTTCTTGAATCTGTTGTTGTGTTTGTTAGGTTCTTGCTTGTGGCTCCAG